TGCAGGAACTGCTGACACACTCCAGCCACATGAGGTCTAGCATTGTCTTGCATTAGGAGGAACCCAGGGCCAACCACACCAGCATATGGTCTCACAAGGGGTCTGAGGATCTCATCTCGGTACCTAATGACAGTCAGGCTACCTCTGGCGAGCACATGGAGGGCTGTGCGGCCCCCCAAAGAAATGCCACCCCACACCATGACTGACCCACCGCCAAACCGGTCATGCTGGAGGATGTTGCAGGCAGCAGAACGTTCTCCACGGCGTCTCCAGACTCTGTCACGTCTGTCACATGTGCTCAGTGTGAACGTGCTTTCATCTGTGAAGAGCACAGGGTGCCAGTGGCGAATTTGCCAATCTTGGTGTTCTTTGGCAAATGCCAAACATTTACATTACATTTACATTTACGTCATTTAGCAGACGCTCTTATCCAGAGCGACTTACAGTTAGTGAATACATATATCTATATATATTTTTTATACTGGCCCCCCGTGGGAATCGAACCCACAACCCTGGCGTTGCAAACGCCATGCTCTATCAACTGAGCTACATCCCTGCCGGCCATTCCCTCCCCTACCCTGGACGACGCTGGGCCAATTGTGCACCGCCCATGAGTCTCCCGGTCGCGGCCGGCTGCGACCGGAAACGTCCTGCACGGTGTTGGGCTGTAAGCACAACCCCCACCTGTGGACGTCGGGCCCTTATACCACCCTCATGGAGTCTGTTTCTGACCGTTTGAGCAGACACATGCACATTTGTGGCCTGCTGGAGGTCATTTTGCAGGGCTCTGGCAGTGCTCCTCCTGCTCCTCCTTGCACAAAGGCGGAGGTAGCAGTCCTGCTGCTGGGTTGACTCTGAAGCTCACAGGAATGGTCTTCGAATGTCTGAAGGGGTGAGCACACATTAATGCTTCAGTATGAAGCAGGAGTTTTGATACAGGTATCCAAATTGACTCAATAATCACATAGTGACTGTCAGGATACCCTCTCATAGTGCTCTATAATCTTCATGAAATTGCCAGAAAATTAGAGCTGTTGATTCACATGTTCAGAATAACTTCTGTAGATGATCCACGTGCCTAGCTGGGTACATTTTGGGTAGTGTAACTTTGTAAAAAAAACGGATTCATTTCACCTAATTTTTACATTCTTTCATAAAGAAAACATGTTCAGCTTGATAAAAAAAATTTTTTCAATCTCAAGGGGATAACAATGTAATTGTTTTGGGGGGAAGCTTTCCCTTCCTTATTGCACACAACATGCTTCAATCCCCCCTGTCAAAAGGGGATTTATGGTTGATTTAAGATGAAAACCTCAACCATGTTACGGTCAACCCTGTTACTTTAATGGCACTTTATTGGCACTTACTATAGTAATTTTGTATTTATTTAAAGCATTTCTAGCATATATCTATTGGTAACAGGGTTGACGTGTTATGCTCGAAGCGCTCCGTTTTCCACCACAAAACACCAGAAAATTGCCAAAAAGTAGAACCAGCTCACCTGCTTTTATACTATGATTTGAATATTATATGTTTAAGAAATGTTGGGGTTAAGTGGGTTGAAATCTTCCTAGAAGTCGGAAAAACATGACGAGGGACATGCCAAAATGTTTGGCACTTTATTCATATAAAAAATCAGATTTAGTCAATTGTCCATATTAAAGGGCACTTCATTTATTATAACAGGCTTTTAACATTTAATATTGGTGCACAATTTCTACTTAAAATATCAAAGCGACTCAGAATGTACTCTATTCGTCGAGCAACCCAGCTGGCTAGTCCATGCTGACCTCTTCTCCAACTCTCTAGCTTTGTGGTTCTCATAGAAGGACAGAAGGCCCTAAATCATAAGTAGAAACTCAACGCCTACAAGGTGGTGTGACGGCATGTACCATCTGGGATTGTGGACGAGGTTTCCACGTAGTGTGTGTGTGTGTGGTCATTTAGTTGGGGTAGACATCCAATTTAACATTACAGTGGGGGAAAAAAGTATTTAGTCAGCCACCAATTGTGCAAGTTCTCCCACTTATAAAAGATGAGAGAGGCCTGTAATTTTCATCATAGGAACACGTCAACTATGACAGACAAAATGAGAATTTTTTTTCTCCAGAAAATCACATTGTAGGATTTTTAATGAATTTATTTGCAAATTATGGTGGAAAATAAGTATTTGGTCACCTACAAACAAGCAAGATTTCTGGCTCTCACAGACCTGTAACTTCTTCTTTAAGAGGCTCCTCTGTCCTCCACTCGTTACCTGTATTAATGGCACCTGTTTGAACTTGTTATCAGTATAAAAGACACCTGTCCACAACCTCAAACAGTCACACTCCAAACTCCACTATGGCCAAGACCAAAGAGCTGTCAAAGGACACCAGAAACAAAATTGTAGACCTGCACCAGGCTGGGAAGACTGAATCTGCAATAGGTAAGCAGCTTGGTTTGAAGAAATCAACTGTGGGAGCAATTATTAGGAAATGGAAGACATACAAGACCACTGATAATCTCCCTCGATCTGGGGCTCCACGCAAGATCTCACCCCGTGGGGTCAAAATTATCACAAGAACGGTGAGCAAAAATCCCAGAACCACACGGGGGGACCTAGTGAATGACCTGCAGAGAGCTGGGACCAAAGTAACAAAGCCTACCATCAGTAACACACTACGCCGCCAGGGACTCAAATCCTGCAGTGCCAGATGTGTCCCCCTGCTTAAGCCAGTACATGTCCAGGCCCGTCTGAAGTTTGCTAGAGTGCGTTTGGATGATCCAGAAGAGGATTGGGAGGATGTCATTTGGTCAGATGAAACCAAAATAGAACTTTTTGGTAAAAACTCAACTCGTCGTGTTTGGAGGACAAAGAATGCTGAGTTGCATCCAAAGAACACCATACCTACTGTGAAGTATGGGGGTGGAAACATCATGCTTTGGGGCTGTTTTTCTGCAAATGGACCAGGACGACTGATCCGTGTAAAGGAAAGAATGAATGGGGCCATGTATCGTGAGATTTTAAATGAAAACCTCCTTCCATCAGCAAGGGCATTGAAGATGAAATGTGGCTGGGTCTTTCAGCATGACAATGATCCCAAACACACCGCCCGGGCAATGAAGGAGTGGCTTCGTAAGAAGCATTTCAAGGTCCTGGAGTGGCCTAGCCAGTCTCCAGATCTCAACCCCATAGAAAATCTTTGTAGGGAGTTGAAAGTCTGTGTTGCCCAGCGACAGCCCCAAAACATCACTGCTCTAGAGGAGATCTGCATGGAGGAATGGGCCAAAATACCAGCAACAGTGTGTGAAAACCTTGTGAAGACTTACAGAAAACATTTGACCTGTGTCATTGCCAACAAAGTATTGAGAAACTTTTGTTATTGACCAAATACTTATTTTCCACCATAACTTGCCAATAAATTCATTAAAAATCCTACAATGTGATTTTCTGGATTTTTTTTTCTCATTTTGTCTGTCATAGTTGACGTGTACCTATGGTGATAATTACAGGCCTCTCTCATCTTTTTAAGTGGGAGAACTTGCACAATTGGTGGCTGACTAAATACTTTTTTTCCCCACTGTACACCTCTCCCACTAACAGCAATTCCACATGCAAACTCAGGGCTTTGGATTACATGGCTGTACATACAATGTTGGGAAAAGCACTTAGCCTGGATGAGGCTTGTGCTTCTGTACTGGCACTGTTGTGGCTCCCTGTACAGCTCTCTGAGCTGTCAGAGCGTGTTGAGGGCCTCGTTAAATACCTCCATATTAAATATAATAGTGGTCGTTACCTGACCAGGAAATGGCTTCTTGGTTTGTTCTATATAAAGATTTTGGGATATGAAGGTCCTAGGCCTGGATTTTGTATCTTTGTCTGTTTGCATTATATTGGGAAAAAAAGTAGGAAACAAAACCCCTCAAATTCTGAGTTGAAGTAAGATTGTGTTAAGTTATTAATTATGTTGCTCCAGTGTGGTGTGGTGTGTGTGTGTGTGTGTGTGTGTGTGTGTGTGTGTGTGTGTGTGTGTGTGTGTGTGTGTGTGTGTGTGTGTGTGTGTGTGTGTGTGAGCGTGAGCGTGTGAGCGTATGTGCTAGGCGTTCACAGACAGAAATCATGTGGTTCTTGGATCGGGATAGAGGTAGCTGAGGAACACTCAACTCCGTTCTCTTACATCAAGACGGAGTTGAGTATTGATAACTGGTCGCACGATTTGCTAGTTGCACGATTTGCTAGTCACCATCAGTCGTTAATTGTAAAAATGTAAATTCTGAACACATTTACCTGTACCTATGTTTGCCCTGTACAACATAGGTAAGCGTTTTCAGAAGACCCACCTGTTCCGAGAGGCTTTTAAAGTGAAGGCCTAATGCACCATACTCTGCTGTACATGTCTTAACTGCTCTCTTGCCATTGTTTTTATTGATGTGATGTTTATTTTATTGTATTTTTTTACTGTAGCACTTCGTGTTTTTGAAAAGGGTGTAACAAATAAAATGTATTATTATTACTAGTAGATGTAGTATTAGTATGTGTGAATCCCTTAACCAACCATTTATGTTAACATATTTATTAGGTTATTATAGGTTATTAATTACATTAGTATACATACAGTTACAATAGAACAACATGTTCATGTTACAATTCATTCAACTCCTCTAATTTGGCATCAAAGATAAATAAGGTAAGGCCAAAAATAATGATTTTGTCATTTATCTTTAAACATAGATGATCCACGTTTTTAGAACTCAGCTAACGCTTGTCAGAAGCCTCTGCACTTTTGTGTGGATAGGAAGACCATTGTAGTTTACTTGTTGAGGTCATGGCACCTGTATGTTTTATGTTCGATCTTCTCAGCAGATCTGCCACCCCAACTCCCCAGCATAAACTGTCCCATCTCTGAGATACATCCCAGGTCCATGGTACACAATGTTGTTCTCTAACAGCCTCAATGTTTCCCGCTGGCTGTGACTTCTGGCATGTGTTGTAGTCAGATGGCAATCCATTTAGTACATCATTTGTTACGCGGAGTGGAACATGGGAACCCAAGAGCAGACTCAGACGAGGAGACTGGGATGAAGTAACCATGGTATTTATTGAGACACAGGGGGGAGATGGAGTGCAGGTCAGGGGAAACTGCTGGAAACCAGGTGCGGAGGCTGCGGCTGGAGCGAGAGGGGTTGAAACAGGGTGAGCAGGTCCGGAGGGGAATCCAAGGGAGTAGTAGAGTGGGGAATCCAGGAAAGAGTAGCAGGATGACGAGACGTGGGACTGGAGACAGAGACCAGAGTCAGAGCGGACAGAAATGTAGCGGAGAGGAAAACAGCGTCAGGCAAGGAAAACAGGCACAACAGGATATGAATAGTAACAAACGGCTAGAACCGTAGACTGACTGAGCAGAGATTACGATCTGGCAGTGTGGAAGTGGCAGGACTGAGTATTTGTAGAGGTCTTGATTATGTAACAGGTTGCAGCTGGTGGGGATCTGCTCTGACTCCAGCACACCTGTCTCCGCCCACACAATCACACACAGAGAGCGAGAACGGGGGGAGTGGCGGCAGGTCAAGGAGACACAAGATGAGCAGTAGAGGGCGTTGCAAGAGCAGATGTGACAGTACTCCCCCCCCCCCCCCCCCCCCCCCCTCTACTGGCGCCAACCAGGCTTATCTGGGTGTGGTATAGAAATCCCGTAAGAGGGAGGGGTCCAGAATGTGAAGGCGGGGCACCCAGCAGCGCTCCTCAGGCCCGTATCCCTCCTAGTCAACCAGGTACTGCCAGCCACGACCCCGGCGGCGCACGTCCAGAAGCTGCCGGACGGTATAGGCAGGATGGTCACCGATGAGCCGAGGGGATAGAGGAGCTGCTGCAGGAGGAGACAGGTGACAGGAGCAGACAGGTTTAATCAGGGATATAGAGAGGCTGGGAGTTTCAGGTGCACCGCAGAGGGGTTAATGACACAGTCAATTTCAAAGGGACCAATGAATCGGGGAGAAAGTTTCTTCAATGCCACCTTCAATGGCAGGTCCTTAGATGAGAGCCATACCTTTTGACCCGGGGTGTAGACTGGAGCTAAGGCACAGCAGGGGTGTTATTAAGACCAAAAGGCATGACCAAATATTCAAAGTGACCAAGTGGTGTGTTGAACACAATCTTCCGCTCGTTCCCCTCTCTTATGCGGACAAGGTGGTAGGCATTCCGGAGGTCGAGTTTTGTAAACACAGAGGCACCATGGAGGGGGGCAAAAGCAGAGCTGATGAGTGGCAAGGGATACTTGTTCTTAACAGTGATATTATTCAGCCAACGGAAGTCAATGGACAGCCTCAGTGACCCATCCTTCTTCTTCACAAAGAAAAACCCAGCACCCACCGGAGAGGAAAATGGCTTGATAAGTCCTGCAGCCAAAGAATCCTGGATGTACCTCTCCATAGCCTCTTGTTCGGGATGAGAGAGGTTAAACAACCGGCTACTGGGGAGAGGAGCTCCAGGCCAATGGCGCAGTCGTACGGCCGATGAGGCGGCAACGACAGGGCGTGGTGCTTGCTGAACACAGGAGCTAGATCGTGATACTCGGGGAGGAACTGATGACAGGTCTGGAGGTTCTGGAATGAACTGGGGCACAGACAAGGCAGGGGGAAGGGCAGAATGTAAACAATTAGAGTGACAAAATGAACTCCAAGTGTTTACTTTTTTCGGCGGTCCAGTCAATCTGTGGGTTGTGTAGTTTTAACCATGGATGTCCAAGAACCAGGGGAGAGTAAGGACAGTCGATTATGTGGAAACTGATATTTTCCTGGTGATTTCCAGAGAGACGCAGGATGATCGGGACGGTTCTCTCACAGACACGAGTGAGGAGCTGTCCATTGAGAGCATTGGCATCGAGGGGTGAATCGAGTGGGACAGTGTCCAGGCCCAACTGGGTAACTCTCAGCGGCGTGGGTGCGGAACTCACATGCCATCTCAGCAACACTATGGGGGACTTGACGGAGGGTCAGGAGTCGTTTAGCGGCATCCTTACCACAGACCGGGTGGTCGAAGACTTTCTTCATCTCCTCCGTGAATCTGGAGTAGGAGAAGCAGATGGGGGACTGTCTCTCCCAAACCGCCGTGGCCCAGGAAAGCGCTGCTCCACAGAGGCAGCCAATCAGAAAGGAAATCTTGGCCCGTTCGCTAGCATAAGAGTTGGGCTGTTGCTCAAATACTAGTGAACATTGTACCAAAAAGGCTCTGCAGGCTCCAAGATTGCCATCGTAACACTCGGGAGTCAGAACAAATGGCTCCCGGAACGGAGGAGAAAGACGGGCTCTGTGAAAACTCCTTGATGTGCTCCAGAAGGGTCTTCAGGTCTTGGTCATTTTGCTCGAGCAGGGCGCCTTGGCCGACGAGGGTTTGGTGGAGAGTAGCAGAGTCTGCTGGGTTCATCTCTTTGGCCAGATCGTAAAGTTACGCGGAGTGGAACAGGGGAACCCAAGAGCAGACTCAGACGAGGAGACTAGGATGAAGTAACCAAGGTATTTATTGAGACACCGGGGGGAGATGGAGGGCAGGTCAGGGGAAACTGCTGGAAACCAGGTACGGAGGCAGCGGCTGGAGCAAGGGGGGTTGAGACAGGGTGAGCAGGTCCGGAGGGGAATCCAAGGGAGTAGTAGAGTGGGGAATCCAGGACAGAGTAGCAGGATGACGAGACGTGGGACTGGAGACAGAGACCAGAGTCAGAGCAGGCAGAACTGTAGCGGAGAGGAAAACAGCGTCAGGCAAGGAAAACAGATACAACAGGATATGAATAGTAACAAACGGCTAGAACCGTAGACTGACTGAGCAGAGATTACGATCTGGCAGTGTGGAAGTGGCAGGACTGAGTATTTGTAGAGGTCTTGATTAGGGAACAGGTTGCAGCTAGTGGGGATCTGCTCTGACTCCAGCACACCTGTCTCCGCCCACACAATCACACACACACACACAGAGAGAGAGAGGGAGAGGGAGAGAGTACTGGGGGAGTGGCGGCAGGTCAAGGAGACACAGGATTAGCAGTAGAGGGCGTTGCAGGAGCAGATGTGACAGCATTGGGCTCCAGTGTCAGTGGTCCTGACCTGATAGGAGAAACACATAATAGCAAAAGTCATTATTCATTCTAAAGATATTATGCTACGAATGGGCAGCAATCCTATGAATTAGTGCATCAATTACAACAAATATGAAACCATCTCCTAGCAACTTCTGTTGTAGCACAGATGTCGACTCTATGCAGTCTCCTAACCTAAGGTGGTGGAACTACATTTAGATTTTTTAATTTAGCAGATGCTCTTATCCAGAGGGACTTACAGGAGCAATTAGGGTTAAGTGCCTTGCTCAAGGGCACATCAACAGATTATTCACCTAGTCGGCTCGGGGATACAAACCAGCAACCTTTTGGTTTCGGTTACTGGCCCAACGATCTTAACGTTGTTTGAGGCTATGGGGTAGGCATGTGCAAAGCCTAGCGCATAGGTACTAGGTTCTGTAAACTGAAAGACATCAGAAGGGACGTCACTCTTGAAACCCTTTACATAGATTGTGCTGATGTCTTTAAGCGCCTCTGTTTTTATTTGTTTACCTAGTATGGGTGTAAACTTATCTAATTGTGGCCTTGTAGTTTATTTGCATCATACAGTATATTGTATATTTTATTTGTGTAGCACAATCTATTTAGTGTGTGTCATACAGTCTATTAATTTGCATCACACACTGTTTGGGTCACACAACAATGAATGAGCAATGACAGCACAGCTTCTAAAAGTATTTACTCAGTACAAATCTGTAGAACATTGGTCACACATTTTAACCATTCATAAAAACACAGCTTAGTGTTTTAATAAAATCATTGGATAATGATAAGTCTGTGTAGAACCATTGTGCCTCAACTAAACCTTAAAGGGACAATGAAGAATATAACCTATAAATGCCTCATCAGCTGAGTTCAACTGTCGTACCCCATCAGAACCCAAAATATAAGCATGTTTTACTCCAACATTTGTAAACATTGTAAATGTAAATAAACACTGTATAGCCTCAAAATGTGCTTGTTATGCAACATATGCTTAAAAACTAATATTCTTAACACTATCATGTTGATCTCTTGGATGGTTAGTCCTTGCATCAATAGCTCTGTCTATGAATTTAAAAGTAGTTACATTTTTCCAGGCCCTGTTCAGCTTTTTACCAAAACAGAGGCGGGGTGCTTGTTTCAACTTCGGATTGCCCCTTTAAGGGCCACTTTCCTGGCCTAACCTAGTTCTGAACTAAAAGGCATGCTTAATAAAAAACTCCATTCAAAGTGCTTTTTAGTCCAGGACAGTGGTGGCCCGTCCATTATTTTCATTATTTTCAAGGATTATGTTTAAAATGTCAATAAAGGTTTGGTTAATTTATGCACATTGTACTGTTAAAAAAATATTTTGTTCAAAACAAGCAGTTCAGTTACCTACTGGTCTGTCATCAGCAGTTCTGGGCGTTTGGCTTAGCGCCCAGCACTTGGATTACATTGCCAGCTATTACTGTACATTGCTTACTATTGGAGGGGACTGCAGCATTGAGATTGCAGGATTTCATCACATAATTTTCACATCACAAAGTAAATGGACCGTCCTGGGGCGTTGAAATGAATGCCCAGGTCTTCTGGGTCTGCTCTATCAGGTACTGAACAGATGGAGTTAAAGAGCAAATTGCAATGAATTTTTAAATAAATCATCATGACAGTCATTTGGAGCCTGAGACCTTAATTGGACATCCACATCCATACATTAGCTAGAACCTTCTCACAGATCGTTCTAAAAATGTAACTTTTGGTATCTGGCAGGACGCTGTTAGTATTATTTCTGAGTATTTAAAACTTTTACTGTAATCTGAATGAGTTGTTTTAGGGGATTTTAACTTAGATTGGTTTACCCCGGCCTCAGACCATTTTAAGAATATTTGTCTTGACTTTAACATGACTCAACTGATTGCAAAATCCACACGGATGAATGCTAAACATCCAGCAAACTCCTCACTGATTGACCTTATTCTGACAAATAGCCCCCACAAGTATTTGTCCAGTGGTGTCTTTGGTAATGAGCTCAGTGATCACTGTTCCTATTGCATGTATTAGAGATACTAAACCGATGAACACTGATCCTTGTATAATTATGAATATATATATTTTTTAATCCCCACAAGTTTTTCTTCATAATACAGTGCATTCAGAAAGTATTTTGTTGTGTTACAGCCTGAATACAAAATGGATTAAATAGATTGTTTTCCCCACCCAGCTACACACAATACCCCATAATGACAAAGTGAAAACATGTTTTTAGAAATGTTATTGAAAATGAAAATACAGAAATATCTCATTTACAGTAGTATTCACAACCCTGAGTCAATACATGTTAGAATCACCTTTGGTAGTGATTAGTCTTTCTAGGTAAGTCTATAAGAGCTTTGTACACCTGGATTGTACAATATTTGCGCATTATTCTATTTAAAATTCTTCAAGCTCTGTCATGTTGGTTGTTGATCATTGCTACAGCCATTTTCAAGTCTTGCCATAGATTTTCAAGCTGATTTAATTCAAAACAGTAACTAGGCCACTCAGGAACATTCAATGTTGTGTTGGTAAGCAACTCCAGTTGTGTACTGAGTGTACAAAACATTAAGGACACCTCCTCTTTCCATCACATAGACTGACCATGTGAATCTAGGTGAAAGCTATAATCCCTTATTGATGCCACTTATTAAATCCACTTCAATCAGTGTAGATGAAGGGAAGAGACAGGTTAAAGAATGAATTTTAAGCCTTGAGACATTTGAGACTTGGATTGTGTATGTGTGCCATTCAGAGGGTGAATGGCCAAGACAAAATATTTAAGTGCCTTTGAACAGGGTATGGTAGTAGGTGCCAGGCGCACCGGTTTGTGTTAAGAACTGCAATGCTTTTGGGCTTTTCACGCTCAACAGTTTCCTGTGTGTATCAAGAATGGTTGACCACCCAAAAGACATCAAGCCAACTTGACACAACTGTGGGAAGCATAGGAGTCAACATGGGCCTTGTAGAGTCCATGCCCCAAATAATTTAGGCTGTTCTGGGGGCAAAAGGGGGAAAGGGGTGCAACTCAAGAGTAGGAAGGTGTTCTTAATGTTTTGTACACTCAGTGTATATTTGGTGTTTTAGGTTATTGTCCTGCTGAAAGGTGAATTTGTCTCCCAGTGTCTGTTGGAAAGCAGACTGAACAAGGTTATCCTCTAGGATTTTGCCTGTGCTTAGCCCTATTCGGTTTCCCTAGTCCTTGCAGATGACAAGCATACACATAACATGATGCAGCCACCACAATGCTTGAAAATATGAAGGGTGGCACTCAGTGATGTGTTGTGTTGGATTTGCCCCAAACATAACACTTTGTATTCAGGACAAAGTTAATTTCTTTGCCACATTTTTTGCAGTTTTACTTCAGTGGCTTATTGCAAGCAGGGTGCAAGTTTTGTAATATTTGTATTATGTACAGGCTTCCTTCTTTTTACTCTGTCATTTAGGTTAGTATTGTAGAGTAACTACAATGTTCTTGATCCATCCTCAGTTTTCTCCTATCACAGCCATTAAACTCTGTAACTGTTTTAAAGTCACCATTTGTTATGTGGGCAGCTTGTCTCTCCCTTTTCTGTTTCCCTTCCTCCTTGTTTTGTCCCCTCTTTTTCTGTTGTATGTGTGTTTGTCCCCTTTATGTGGGTGTGTCTGGAGTGGAGCAGGGGGCGTGCTCAGGATCTGCCTCTCCTGTGCAGCTGCGGGTTGTTTCCAGTGATTCCTGCCTACGCAGCTGCATCCTATTCTCTCATCAACCTGCACTACTTATTCCTGGGCATGGCTCTCCACCGGCGCCAGATCGTTGTTCTTACCAGAGCGGTAACTTGGCTCACCAGTAAAGTTATTTTGTCTTTGTCTTCAGCCTGGCTCTCCACTCTCCTTAACCTGTCGTTTGTTTTGTCTTCAGTTCGGACATACCTCCCAACCTGCCTGCCTTCCTGCCTGTCGGTCTGCCTGCCTGCCTGCCTGCCTGCCTGCCTGCCTGCCTGCCTCAGCCTCTCCTTCCTCCGGAGCCGACTAGCCCACTCTGTTCCTTTACTTCAGTTGTTTTTGGACTAAGACAATTTGAACTTTTATTAAAATATTTTTGTTTCTTCCACTCCCTTTGTCGTGTTGGTTTCTCTGAGTGCTGGGTTGAACCATAGCCTTAACAGAACGATCTGGCCATGGACCCAACAGAGAAACAGCACGGGGCAAACAAAGACAGCTTCCAACAAGCTATCCAGGCTCAAGGAACGTTGCTAGGACAGCATGACCAGTTGATTCGGACTCTTGTGGAAGATAATCATCAACTGCTGAACCAGGTGACTCAGTTAACTACACACGTCTCTAAATTGTCTGTTATCAGTTCTCCATCTCTCTCTGACCCCCAGTTTGATGCACCCCAAGTTGTTTCCTCGGACACTAGGCAGGCTTCGTTCCGTCGGGAACCCCCTGTCACGTCGCCTGAACCGTTCAATGGAGAATTGGACAAGTGCCGGGGATTTTTGCTTCAGTGTGACTTGATTTTTCGGCAGAGACCACTGTCGTTTTCTACTGATTCATCTAAGGTACATTATGTTCTGGGGCTGTTAAGAGGGAAAGCTCTGGTTTGGGCTGAGGCTGTGTGCTCAGATCAAACTTTGACTGGATTGACTTTTGCTGATTTCTCTGCTAAATTGAAGACTGTTTTTGACCATCCTGACCATGTGGGTAATTCCTCCAAGATACTTTTTAATTTGAGGCAGGGTTCTAACAGTGTGGCAGAGTACTCTATTGAGTTCTGGACGTTGGCAGCGGACTCCAAGTGGAACAATGTGGCACTTCAAGGAGCATTTCTAAACGGTTTGAATGAAGCCATTAAGGATGAACTGGCTGCTCGTGATGAGCCACATGATTTACATTCTCTCGTTTCCCTGTCCATCAAGCTAGACAATCGGTTGCGGGAGAGGCGTCGGGAGAGAGGCGATCGGCCACATCTAGGAGGACGAGTTCCCCAGCCTTCAACCACTCGAGTCTCGCCTCTCCGGAGTCGGCAGCTTCTTGTTCCTGATTCCATCCCGAGCACAGAGGAGGAACCTATGCAAGTGGGTCGAGCTCGACTACCTCCAGCTGAGCGGCAACGGCGCCTCCAGGCGGGTGAGTGCCTGTACTGTGGAGACGCCACACACATTCTGGCTACATGCCCTAAGCGGCCAAAAGACAAGGCTCGCTCGTAACGGTGGGTCTACTTGCGAGCCCAGAGTTAGATCCTGAACCCATCATTCCCCGATTACAAGTACCTGTAACCTTACGTTTCCAGAGTCATTCCCTGCCACTCTCAGCTCTCATAGACTCAGGTGCAGAAGATAACTTTATTAGCCACCAGTTCGTTACACAAGCTCGTATCCCCATGGAGCCACTACCTACCCCCATCCGGGTCACAGCCCTTGATGGGCGCCTCCTCGCGGAGATAACTCATCAAACCACCCCCGTTTCCCTAGTGATTTCTGGCAATCATTGTGAAAGCATTCAGCTAAGAGTTATGTCTGGCTCAGCTACCTCCCTAATCCTTGGCTTCCCCTGGTTGGCTCTTCACAACCCACAAATTGATTGGACACGTCACACCATTCTCAGTTGGAGCACTAACTGCCATTCCGAGTGCCTGAGGTCAGCGGTTCCCCCCACTAAGTGTAACCCAACTCCTCCCTCAGCTCCTCTTGATCTGTCATCTGTCCCCAAAGAATACCATGACTTAGCGGAGGTTTTCAGTAAGGACAAGGCTCTGTCTCTACCACCACATAGGCCTTATGATTGCCCTATTGAACTGCTTCCTGGTGCTCCCTTGCCCTCTAGTCGGTTATACAATCTGTCCCGACCGGAAAGAGAGGCAATGGAGCAGTACATTGGTGATTCTCTGGTCTCGGGCATAATCCGTCCCTCGTCGTCTCCTTTGGGTGCAGGTTTCTTTTTCGTGGAAAAGAAGGACAAGTCGTTACGCCCCTGTATCGATTTCAGGGGTTTAAACAACATAACTGTTAAAAACAAGTATCCCCTTCCACTCATCAACTCAGCTTTTGAACCTCTGCATGGCGCCACAGTGTTTTCCAAGCTCGACCTCAGGAAAGCTTATCACCTTGTCCGAATCCGAAAGGGAGATGAGTGGAAAACCGCTTTCAACACTCCACTGGGACATTTTTGAGTATTTGGTCATGCCCTTTGGGCTTTCAAATGCCCCTGCGGTTTTCCAAGCCATGGTGAACGATGTTCTTAGGGATTTTTTGAACCGTTTTGTCTTTGTATACCTGGATGATATTCTTGTTTTTTCCAAGTCACCCGAGGAGCATGAGTCACACGTCCGTCAAGTCCTTCAACGGCTCTTGGAGAACAAGCTGTACGTCAAAGCAGAGAAGTGTGAGTTCCACAAACAGTCTACATCGTTCCTTGGATTCATAATTGAGAGCGGGCAGGTGAAGGCGGACCCCGAGAAGATCCGGGCAGTGACGGAATGGCCCACACCCACCACCCGTAAGCAACTTCAACGATTTTTGGGCTTTGCTAACTTCTACCGTAGATTCATTAAGGGTTTTAGTAGAGTGGTGGCACCCCTTACAAGACTCACATCTCCTAAAGTCCCTTTTCGGTGGTCCCCTGAGGCGGAGCAGGCGGTAGGGGTTTTGAAGGAACTGTTTTCCACCTCCCCCGTGTTGATACACCCCAATACCTCTCTGCAGTTTGTTGTGGAGGTGGACGCGTCGGACTCAGGTGTGGGAGCAGTCCTCTCCCAGCGCTCCCCCACTGACCAAAGGCTTCACCCCTGTGCTTTTTTCTCCAAGAAATTGTCACCCACAGAACGGAATTACGACGTTGGAAACCGGGAACTGCTGGCGGTCAAGCTTGCACTGGAAGAATGGCGGCACTGGCTGGATGGAGCTGAATTACCGTTTGTGGTCTGGACTGACCACAAAAACTTGGCTTACATCCAAGCCACTAAGAGACTCAACTCACGCCAAGCCAGATGGGCCCTGTTTTTTAGTAGGTTTAACTTTATTCTTACATACAGACCGGGGTCAAGAAATGTTAAACCAGATGCTTTGTCCCGCCAGTTTGCTGACCCTTCGGAGACCAGCGAGCCTGAGGCAGTCCTGCCTTCCTCATGCGTCGTGGCGGCTGTTCAGTGGGAGATCGAGTCTCTTGTGAAGACTGCACTTGCCACGGACCCGGGACTGGGTGATGGACCTCCCAACCTACTCTTTGTTCCCGAGACGGTCCGGTCTCAGGTGTTGCAGTGGATTCACACCTCCCGTTTTGCTGGTCACCCTGGGATGAGACGCACGTTGACGCTGCTTAGGAGACATTTTTGGTGGCCTTCAATGGAAACTGACGTTCGGGCTTTTGTGGCAGCCTGTTCAACCTGTGCTCGGGGCAAAGCCTCCCATCAGTCCCCTTCGGGGCTGCTGCTACCCCTCCCAGTTCCCAGCCGTCCCTGGTCCCACATTGCCATGGATTTTGTCACCGGCCTACCCAAGTCTGAAGGTAATGATACTATACTTACCATTGTGGACAGATTCTCTAAATCTGTCCACTATATAGCATTACCAAAATTACCGTCTGCCAGTGAGACAGCGGACCTCCTAGTCCAACATGTATTCCGTCCCCATGGAATACCTGTGGACATCGTATCTGATAGAGGCCCACAGTTTACTTCCCGTGTTTGGAAGGGTTTCTGTTCTGCTTTGGGTGCTTCCGTTAGTCTGTCCTCAGGGTTTCATCCCCAGACCAACGGTCAAACAGAAAGAGCCAATCAAAACCTCGAAGCAACCCTTCGTTGTGTGGCTGCTCAACATCCATCATCCTGGGCTAAACATCTGCCCTGGATAGAGTACGCCCACAACTCCCTCACCGCCTCTGCCACCGGTCTTTCACCCTTCGAGGTTACCATGGGTTATCAACCCCCTCTGTTTCCTGCTCAGGAGAAGGAATTGGCTGTTCCTTCGGTTCAGGAGAACCTCCGCCGCTGCCAGAGAGTGTGGAGCGACGCTCGGGAAGCATTGCTTCGGACCACCGACAGGAACAAGACAACAGCGGATAGGAGCAGGACTCCCGCACCTGTGTTTCATCCTGGTCAAGAGGTTTGGCTGTCATCTAAGAACGTACCTCTTCGTACCAAATCACGCAAGCTGTCTCCTCGGTACCTGGGTCCGTTTGTGGTGGAATCCATCATTAACCCCGCTGCGGTTCGTTTGAAGTTGCCTTCAGCCATGAAGATACACCCTACCTTCCACGTCTCCCAACTGAAACCTGTGTCCTCCAGCCTTTTGTGTCCGCCGGCTGATCCACCTCCACCTGTTCGCCTCATTGACGACCATCCGGCCTACACCGTCAGTAGGCTCCTGGACTCTCGGAGGCGGGGTAGGGGTCTCCAATACCTAGTCGATTGGGAAGGTTATGGACCAGAGGAGAGGTCTTGGGTCCCTAAGCGTTTTGTGTTGGATCCTCAGCTGATCACGGACTTCCATCACGACAACCCTGACAGGCCTGGTGGGTCGCCAGGTGGCGACCATTGAGGGGGGGGTACTGTTATGTGGGCAGCTTGTCTCTCCCTTTTCTGTTTCCCTTCCTCCTTGTTTTGTCCCCTCTTTTTCTGTTGTATGTGTGTTTGTCCCCTTTATGTGGGTGTGTCTGGAGTGGAGCAGGGGGCGTGCTCAGGATCTGCCTCTCCTGTGCAGCTGCGGGTTGTTTCCAGTGATTCCTGCCTACGCAGCTGCATCCTATTCTCTCATCAACCTGCACTACTTATTCCTGGGCATGGCTCTCCACCGGCGCCAGATCGTTGTTCTTACCAGAGCGGTAACTTGGCTCACCAGTAAAGTTATTTTGTCTTTGTCTTCAGCCTGGCTCTCCACTCTCCTTAACCTGTCGTTTGTTTTGTCTTCAGTTCGGACATACCTCCCAACCTGCCTGCCTGCCTGCCTGCCTGCCTGCCTGCCTGCCTGCCTGCCTGCCTCAGCCTCTCCTTCCTCCGGAGCCGACTAGCCCACTCTGTTCCTTTACTTCAGTTGTTTTTGGACTAAGACAATTTGAACTTTTATTAAAATATTTTTGTTTCTTCCACTCCCTTTGTCGTGTTGGTTTCTCTGAGTGCTGGGTTGAACCATAGCCTTAACACCATTGGCCTCATGGTGAAATCCCTGAGCAGTTTCCTTCCTCTCTGGCAACTGTGTTAGGAAGGACACCTATATATTTGTAGTGACTGGGTCTATTCATACACCATCCAAAGTGTAATTAATAACTTCACCATGCTCAAATGGATATTTAATGTCTGCTTCTTTTTCTTTACCCATCGACCAATAGGTGCCCTTCTTTGCAAGGCATTAGAAAACCTCCCTGGTCTTTGTGGTTGAATCTGTGTTTGAAATTCACTGCTTGACTGAGGGTCCTTGCAGATAATTGTATGTGTGGGGTACAGAGATGAGGTAGTCATTAAAAAATAATGTTAAGCATATCCAGAGGTTGTCTTTGGGAAATAGACGTATGAGTGCTGCCAGCATTGCTGCAGAGGTTGAAGGGGTGGGGGGTCAGCCTGTCAGTGCTCAGACTACACGCCGCACACTGCATCAAATTGGTCTGAATGGCTGTCGTCCCAGAAGGAAGCCTCTTCTAAAGATGATGCACAAGAATGCCCGCAAACAGTTTGCCGAAGACAAGCAGACTAAGGACATGGATTACTGGAACCATGTCCTGTCGTCTGATGAGACCAAGATAAACTTATTTGGTTCAGATGGTGTCAAGCGTGTGTGGCGGCAACCAGGTGAGGAGTACAAAGACAAGTGTGTCTTGCGTACAGTCAAGCATGGTGGTGGGAGTGTCATGGTCTGGGGCTGCATGAGTGCTGCCGGCACTGGGGAGCTACAGTTCATTGAGGGAACCATGAATGCCAACATGTACTGTGACATACTGAAGCAGAGCATGATCCCCTCCCTTCGGAGACTGGGCCGCAGGGCAGTATTCCAACATGATAACGACCCCAAACACACCTCCAAGACGACCACTGCCTTGCTTGAAGCTGAGGGTAAAGGTGATGGACTGGCCAAGTATGTCTCCAGAACTAAACCCTATTGAGCATCTGTGGGGCATCCTCAAACGGAAGGTGGAGGAGTGCAAGGTCTCTAACATCCACCAGCTCTGTGATGTCATCATGGAGGAGTGGAAGAGGACTCCAGTGGCAACCTGTGAAGCTCTGGTGATCTCCATGCCCAAGAGGGTTAAGGCAGTGCTGGAAAATGATGGTGGCCACACAAAATATTGACACTTTGGGCCCAATTTGGACATTTTCTCTTAGGAGTGTACTCACTTTTGTTGCCAGCGGTTTAGACATTAATGGCTGTGTGTTGTGTTATTTTGAGGGGACAGCAAATGTACACTGTTATACAAGCTGTACACTCACTACTTTACATTGTAGCAAAGTGTCATTTCTTCAGTGTTGTCACATGAAAAGATATACTCAAATATTTACAAAAATGTGAGGGGTGTACTCACTTTTGTGAAATACTGTACTACAAATACCAACGTCAAGAGGTGTCGTTGGACAGACGGCGGAGAGGCAGCATGGCAGACATAGTTGGATCACCAAACCCCTCCAGGAATGTCTGCCGGTAAACAACACAAGACAAATGAGCTGACAGGTACTGGTGGACCAGTGGATTGTTGAGGAGGTACAGTGAGGGAAATAAGTATTTGACCCCCTCTCAATCAGAAAGATTTCTGGCTCCCAGGTGTCTTTTATACAGGTTAACGAGCTGAGATTAGGAGCACACTCTTAAAGGGAGTTTTATTTGAACAGTGAGAGACAGAATAACAACAAAAAAATCCAGAAAAACTCATGTCAGAAATGTTATAAATTGATTTGCATTTTAAAGAGGGAAATAAGTATTTGACCCCCTCTCAATGAGAAATATTGCTGGGTCCCAGGTGTCTATTATACAGGTAACGAGCTGAGATTAGGAGCACACTCTTAAAGGGAGTGCTCCTAATCTCAGCTTGTTACCTGTATAAAAGACACCTGTCCACAGAAGCAATAAATCAATCAGATTCCAAACTCTCCACCATGGCCAAGACCATAGAGCTCTCCAAGGATGTCAGGGACAAGATTGTAGACCTACACAAGGCTGGAATGTGCTACGAGACCATCGCCAAGCAGCTTGGTGAGAAGGTGACAACAGTTGGTGCGATTATTCGCAAATGGAAGAAACACAAAAGAACTGTCAATCTCCCTCGGCCTGGGGCTCCATGCAAGATCTCACCTCTTGGAGTTGCAATGATCATGAGAACGGTGAGGAATCAGCCCAGAACTACACAGGAGGATCTTGTCAATGATCTCAAGGCAGCTGGGACCATAGTCACCAATAAAACAATTGATAACACACTACGCCGTGAAGGACTGAAATCCTGCAGTGCCCGCAAGGTCCCCCTGCTCAAGAAGCACATATACAGGCCCGTCTGAAGTTTGCCAATGAACATCTGAATGATTCAGAGGAGAACTGGGTGATCAGATGTTGTGGTCAGATGAGACCAAAATGGAGCTCTTTGGCATCAAATCAACTCGCCGTGTTTGGAGGAGGAGGAATGCTGCCTATGACCCCAAGAACACCACCCCACTGTCAAACATGGAGGTGGAAACATTATACGTTGGGGGTGTTTTTCTACTGAGGGGACAGGACAACTTCACCGCATCAAAGGGACGATGGACGGGACCACGTACCGTCAAATCTTGGGTGAGAACCTCTTTCCCTCATTAAAATGCAAATCAATTTATAACATTTTTGACATGCGTTTTTATGGATTTTTTTGTTGTTATTTTGTCTCTCTGTTCAAATAAACCTACCATTAAAATTATAGACTGATCATTTCTTTGTCAGTGGGAAAATGTAAAAAAATCAGCGGGGGATCAAATACTTTTTTCCCTCACTGTATATACACTACCAGTCAAAAGTTTTAGAACACCTACTCATTCAAGTGTTTTTCTTTATTTTGTAGAATAATAGTGAAGACATCAAACTATGAAATAACACATATGGAGTCATGTAGTAACCAAAAAAGTGTTAAACAAATCAAAACATATTTTATATTTGAGATTCTTCAAATAGCCACCCTTTGCCTTGACAGCTTTACACACTCTTGGCATTCTCTCAACCAGCTTCATGAGGTAGTCACCTTGAATGCCTTTCAATTAACAGGTGTGGATTCTTAAAAGTTAATTTGTGGAATTTCTTTCCTTCTTAATGCGTTTGAGCCAATCAGTTGTGTTATGACAAGGTAGAGTCCCCTGTAGCTCAGTTGGTAGAGCATGGCGCTTGCAACGCCAGGGTTGTGGGTTCGTTACAGTATGAAAATGCATGCACTCACTAACTGTAAGTCACTCTAGGTAAGAGCGTCTGCTAAATGACTAAAATGTAGAGGTGGTATACAGAAGACAGCCTTATTTGGTAAAAGACTAAGTCCATATTATGTCAAGAACAGCTCAAATAAGCAAAGAGTAATGACAGTCCATCATTACTTTAAGACATGAAGGTCAGTCAATCTGGAATATTTCAAGAACTTTGAAAGTTTCTTCAAGTGCAGTCACAAAACCCATCAAGCGCTATGATGAAACTGGCTCTCATGAGGACTGCCACAGGAAAGGAAGACCCAGAGTTACCTCTGCTGCAGAGGATACATTCATTAGAGTTAACTGCACCTCAGATTGTAGCCAAAATAAATGCTTCACAGAGTTCAAGTAACAGACACATTTCAACATCAACTGTTCAGAGGAGACTGCGTGAATCAGGCCTTCATGGTCGAATTGCTGCAAAGAAACCACTACTAAAGGGCACCAATAAGAAGAAGAGACTTGCTTGGGCAAATGGACATTAGACTGGTGGAAATCTGTCCTTTGGTCTGATGAGTCCAAATTAGATTTTTGGTTCCAAACCCTGTGTCTTTGTGAGTTGCAGAGTAGGTGAATGGATGATCTCTGCATGTGTGGTTCCCACCGTGAAGCATGGAGGAGGAGGTGTGATGGTGCTTTGCTGGTGACACTGTTTGTGATTTATTTAGAATTCAAGGCACACTTAACCAGCATAGCTATCACGGCATTCTGCAGTGATACGCCATCCCATCTGGTTTGCACAAAACACACATCCAGGCTGTGTAAGGGCTATTTGACCAAGAAGGAGAGTGAAGGAAAAGCAGCCAACAAGTGCTCAGCATATGTGGGAACTCCTTCAAGACTGTTGGAAAAGCATTACAGGTGACTACCTCATGAAGCTTGTTGAGGGAATGCCAAGAGTGTGCAAAGCTGTCATCAAGGCAAAGGGTGGCTATATTTTGAACACTTTTTTGGTTACTACATGATTCCATATGTTTTATTTCATAGTTCTGATGTCTTCCCTATTATTCTCCAGAAAAGCCCAATTATAATATGAGGTTGGTGTTAATACTGTTATTTATGTGCTTTGGAGGTCTGTCTTGCCCTGAGTTTACTTCTTCTTTCTCTCCGTGGTCTACTCTCACTTTGAAATCTGACCCTAGGGGAAAGGAATGTTTCACAAGGACTGGCACCCTGTTCCACCTCTGTGTCACAAAAACATGTGCATATGTGACCGACCGCCTCGATTCGTCTTATATAGCAACATTTTAAATTGTGTTTTTTACATTGGATAAAAGTAGAGACTCAGCTACACAATGGTATATCATACACTGCAGTTGAGGAACAGGAAAATAAACTCACAACAAGATCATTATTTACAAGTTAATGGCGAGCCAATTACAGAATATAGCTTATGGTTGTGAGTGTGACGAAATAAAAGCAGGGCATTCTACCGGAGAATTTTAGAACATGGACACTGTCTCGGTTGGCCTAACGCTATATCCTAATTTGACTTTGGTGCAGGTCATGTTGTTCTTCACATTACCTTCTCTGGTAAACACATACTATATCAAATAAAATCTATGTTTTTTTGTCACATGAACAGGATAAAGAAGGTGTAAACGGAACAGTGAAGTGGTTACTTGCATAGTGGAGTCTTTTGTTTAGACATGTAGCTAGCTAGCTAAACAATTAACCATAATCCCAACTCATTGTGAATGAATCTGCAGGTAGCTAACCAACCAGGTTCAATGTTAGCTAGCTATTTGATAAAGAAAAAAGTCACAGATAATACTAAGCTGCAGTTCCGCGCGCCTCCGCAGGATGGCGCTAAACAATGGTTCAATGGCTCTCCAACAACTACTTGATACAGGCAGTGCACAAGAAACAATGAATAAACAAGCTGCAGGCATGGAGAATGCTCAATCAAAATCACAAAAATAACTTGCAGTGTGCGCTGTACAAAAATATAACAAAGCCAGGGCTACAAAAATGAAAGCGACAAACATCAAAACAGAACATGCAATAACTGTGGAGGACAATTCCCACACAACGGAGGACAAACAAACTGCCCTGCAAGGGGGATTTTTTTTTAAGGAAGTGGAAAGTTGAATCACTTAAAAAAATGCTGTAGATCACAAACCACCGAGTCCACTCCTCCAGTTGCTGAAAAACTAACCCAACAGTGTCCGAAACACAAAGTGCATAAAGTGCAGTCACAAGATGACAAAAAAGACACAAAAACAAGACACCTCACCAAGCTCTGATGATGATGATTATGTGTATGTTGTGTGTACACCACAGAAACCATCGCAACCAGACATCCAAGTTACCTTTATGAACACAACTGTGGATGTTATTGTTGATTCGGGAGCAAGCGTTAACATTGTTGATGTTTTCACATGACAAGCTAAAGCCCAGCTGTGAATTAAAACAGGCTAAGGCAAACATCTTTGCTTATGGCTCATCCAAACTACTTCCACTGACAGGAAAATTCACAGCACCAGTCCGCTCCAAGACTAAGATGGTGGATACCACTTTCTATGTAATCAAAGGTGACTCTGGCTCATTACTTAGCTGTCAGAGAGCAACAGACCTCCGACTTCTGAAAATAATCAACTCTCTGCCCACTCCAAGTGAACCAGCTATGGTCCATTCATATACCAGGACCTCTTCCAAGGCATCGGAAAACTCAGAGACTTTCAAGTGAAGCTGAACATTGATGACACAACCAGCAGTACAACCACACAGGAGGATTCCTTTTCACATGAAAGAAAAGGTTCAACAGGAGCTTGACACACTACAAAGCCAAGACATCATTGAAAAAATCTGCGGGCCAACGCCATGGGTATCCCCAATAGTGGTCACACCAAAAGCCTGATAAAGTTTGTGTCTGTGTCAACATGCGCCTTCCAAACACAGCAATACAATGTGAACGACACATCACACCAATGGTTGATGACCTCATCCATGATCTGAATGGAGCTGTGGTGTTCCCCAAGCTAGATCTTAATGCTGGATACCACCAGCTTGAGTTACATCCAGACTTCACTACACATACTGGCCTCTGGAGATACACCAGACTGAACTTTGGCATAAATTCAGCTGCCGAGGTGTTTCAAAATGTAATGCAGCAAGTGCTGCAAGGCATTCCCAACGTGAGAAATATGAGCGATGACATCCTAGTCAGTCTACGGTAGATCCCAAGATGAACGCAACACAAGTCTCAAAGCTGTGTTTCAGAGATTGAGAGGGAAAAATCTTGACAAATGCGAATACAGCAAAACAACACTTGAGTTTTACGGCTATGTTTTCTCAGAGAAAGGCATTTCGGTAGATCCAAAGAAAATCAAAGCCATACAGAATCTGCCAGCACCTCAAAATGTCTCTGTAGTTCACAGTCTACTTGGTATGATACAATACTACTTGGTATACAATACAATACGGTTCATACCAGACTTCGCAACAACCGCACAGCCTCTTCGTGAGCTCACAAGAAAAGATCACACCTGGTCAAGGGGACAACAGCACCAGTCTGCGATTAAAAATGTAAGAACTAACAGTGTCTGATGCAGCACACGCCGACAGCCTACTTTGACCCAGCCAAGAGGTCGACACTGTTAGTTGACGCCAGCCCAGTTTGTTTCAAATAAAATAAAATACAATTTTATTGACCACATGCGCCGAATACAACCGGTGCAAACATTACAGTGAAATGCTTACTTACAGCCCTTAACCAACAGTGCATTTATTTTTTATAAAAAAGTAAAATAAAACAACAACAAAAAAGTGTTGAGAAAAAAAGAGTAAAAGTAAAATAAAATAACAGTAGGTAGGCTATATATACAGGGGGTACCGGTGCAGAGTCAATGTGCGGGGGCACCGGCTAGTTGAGGTAGTTGAAGTAATATGTACATGTGGGTAGAGTTAAAGTGACTATGCATAAATAATTAACAGAGTAGCAGCAGCGTAAAAAGATAGGGTGGGGGGTGGGGATCCATGCAAGATCTCACCTCGTGGAGTTGCAATGATCATGAGAACGGTGAGGAATCAGCCCAGAACTACACGGGAGGATCTTGTCAATGATCTCAAGGCAGCTGGGACCATAGTCACCAATAAAACAATTGATAACACACTACGCCGTGAAGGACTGAAATCCTGCAGTGCCCGCAAGGTCCCCCTGCTCAAGAAGCACATATACAGGCCCGTCTGAAGTTTGCCAATGAACATCTGAATGATTCAGAGGAGAACTGGGTGATCAGATGTTGTGGTCAGATGAGACCAAAATGGAGCTCTTTGGCATCAAATCAACTCGCCGTGTTTGGAGGAGGAGGAATGCTGCCTATGACCCCAAGAACACCACCCCACTGTCAAACATGGAGGTGGAAACATTATACGTTGGGGGTGTTTTTCTACTGAGGGGACAGGACAACTTCACCGCATCAAAGGGACGATGGACGGGACCACGTACCGTCAAATCTTGGGTGAGAACCTCTTTCCCTCATTAAAATGCAAATCAATTTATAACATTTTTGACATGCGTTTTTATGGATTTTTTTGTTGTTATTTTGTCTCTCTGTTCAAATAAACCTACCATTAAAATTATAGACTGATCATTTCTTTGTCAGTGGGAAAATGTAAAAAAATCAGCGGGGGATCAAATACTTTTTTCCCTCACTGTATATACACTACCAGTCAAAAGTTTTAGAACACCTACTCATTCAAGTGTTTTTCTTTATTTTGTAGAATAATAGTGAAGACATCAAACTATGAAATAACACATATGGAGTCATGTAGTAACCAAAAAAGTGTTAAACAAATCAAAACATATTTTATATTTGAGATTCTTCAAATAGCCACCCTTTGCCTTGACAGCTTTACACACTCTTGGCATTCTCTCAACCAGCTTCATGAGGTAGTCACCTTGAATGCCTTTCAATTAACAGGTGTGGATTCTTAAAAGTTAATTTGTGGAATTTCTTTCCTTCTTAATGCGTTTGAGCCAATCAGTTGTGTTATGACAAGGTAGAGTCCCCTGTAGCTCAGTTGGTAGAGCATGGCGCTTGCAACGCCAGGGTTGTGGGTTCGTTACAGTATGAAAATGCATGCACTCACTAACTGTAAGTCACTCTAGGTAAGAGCGTCTGCTAAATGACTAAAATGTAGAGGTGGTATACAGAAGACAGCCTTATTTGGTAAAAGACTAAGTCCATATTATGTCAAGAACAGCTCAAATAAGCAAAGAGTAATGACAGTCCATCATTACTTTAAGACATGAAGGTCAGTCAATCTGGAATATTTCAAGAACTTTGAAAGTTTCTTCAAGTGCAGTCACAAAACCCATCAAGCGCTATGATGAAACTGGCTCTCATGAGGACTGCCACAGGAAAGGAAGACCCAGAGTTACCTCTGCTGCAGAGGATACATTCATTAGAGTTAACTGCACCTCAGATTGTAGCCAAAATAAATGCTTCACAGAGTTCAAGTAACAGACACATTTCAACATCAACTGTTCAGAGGAGACTGCGTGAATCAGGCCTTCATGGTCGAATTGCTGCAAAGAAACCACTACTAAAGGGCACCAATAAGAAGAAGAGACTTGCTTGGGCAAATGGACATTAGACTGGTGGAAATCTGTCCTTTGGTCTGATGAGTCCAAATTAGATTTTTGGTTCCAAACCCTGTGTCTTTGTGAGTTGCAGAGTAGGTGAATGGATGATCTCTGCATGTGTGGTTCCCACCGTGAAGCATGGAGGAGGAGGTGTGATGGTCCTTTGCTGGTGACACTGTTTGTGATTTATTTAGAATTCAAGGCACTCTTAACCAGCATAGCTATCACGGCATTCTGCAGTGATACGCCATCCCATCTGGTTTGCACAAAACACACATCCAGGCTGTGTAAGGGCTATTTGACCAAGAAGGAGAGTGAAGGAAAAGCAGCCAACAAGTGCTCAGCATATGTGGGAACTCCTTCAAGACTGTTGGAAAAGCATTACAGGTGACTACCTCATGAAGCTTGTTGAGGGAATGCCAAGAGTGTGCAAAGCTGTCATCAAGGCAAAGGGTGGCTATATTTTGAACACTTTTTTGGTTACTACATGATTCCATATGTGTTATTTCATAGTTCTGATGTCTTCCCTATTATTCTCCAGAAAAGCCCAATTATAATATGAGGTTGGTGTTAATACTGTTATTTATGTGCTTTGGAGGTCTGTCTTGCCCTGAGTTTACTTCTTCTTTCTCTCCGTGGTCTACTCTCACTTTGAAATCTGACCCTAGGGGAAAGGAATGTTTCACAAGGACTGGCACCCTGTTCCACCTCTGTGTCACAAAAACATGTGCATATGTGACCGACCGCCTCGATTCGTCTTACATAGCAACATTTTAAATTGTGTTTTTTACATTGGATAAAAGTAGAGACTCAGCTACACAATGGTATATCATACACTGCAGTTGAGGAACAGGAAAATAAACTCACAACAAGATCATTATTTACAAGTTAATGGCGAGCCAATTACAGAATATAGCTTATGGTTGTGAGTGTGACGAAATAAAAGCAGGGCATTCTACCGGAGAATTTTAGAACATGGACACTGTCTCGGTTGGCCTAACGCTATATCCTAATTTGACTTTGGTGCAGGTCATGTTGTTCTTCACATTACCTTCTCTGGTAAACACATACTATATCAAATAAAATCTATGTTTTTTTGTCACATGAACAGGATAAAGAAGGTGTAAACGGAACAGTGAAGTGGTTACTTGCATAGTGGAGTCTTTTGTTTAGACATGTAGCTAGCTAGCTAAACAATTAACCATAATCCCAACTCATTGTGAATGAATCTGCAGGTAGCTAACCAACCAGGTTCAATGTTAGCTAGCTATTTGATAAAGAAAAAAGTCACAGATAATACTAAGCTGCAGTTCCGCGCGCCTCCGCAGGATGGCGCTAAACAATGGTTCAATGGCTCTCCAACAACTACTTGATACAGGCAGTGCACAAGAAACAATGAATAAACAAGCTGCAGGCATGGAGAATGCTCAATCAAAATCACAAAAATAACTTGCAGTGTGCGCTGTACAAAAATATAACAAAGCCAGGGCTACAAAAATGAAAGCGACAAACATCAAAACAGAACATGCAATAACTGTGGAGGACAATTCCCACACAACGGAGGACAAACAAACTGCCCTGCAAGGGGGATTTTTTTTTAAGGAAGTGGAAAGTTGAATCACTTAAAAAAATGCTGTAGATCACAAACCACCGAGTCCACTCCTCCAGTTGCTGAAAAACTAACCCAACAGTGTCCGAAACACAAAGTGCATAAAGTGCAGTCACAAGATGACAAAAAAGACACAAAAACAAGACACCTCACCAAGCTCTGATGATGATGATTATGTGTATGTTGTGTGTACACCACAGAAACCATCGCAACCAGACATCCAAGTTACCTTTATGAACACAACTGTGGATGTTATTGTTGATTCGGGAGCAAGCGTTAACATTGTTGATGTTTTCACATGACAAGCTAAAGCCCAGCTGTGAATTAAAACAGGCTAAGGCAAACATCTTTGCTTATGGCTCATCCAAACTACTTCCACTGACAGGAAAATTCACAGCACCAGTCCGCTCCAAGACTAAGATGGTGGATACCACTTTCTATGTAATCAAAGGTGACTCTGGCTCATTACTTAGCTGTCAGAGAGCAACAGACCTCCGACTTCTGAAAATAATCAACTCTCTGCCCACTCCAAGTGAACCAGCTATGGTCCATTCATATACCAGGACCTCTTCCAAGGCATCGGAAAACTCAGAGACTTTCAAGTGAAGCTGAACATTGATGACACAACCAGCAGTACAACCACACAGGAGGATTCCTTTTCACATGAAAGAAAAGGTTCAACAGGAGCTTGACACACTACAAAGCCAAGACATCATTGAAAAAATCTGCGGGCCAACGCCATGGGTATCCCCAATAGTGGTCACACCAAAGGCCTGATAAAGTTTGTGTCTGTGTCAACATGCGCCTTCCAAACACAGCAATACAATGTGAACGACACATCACACCAATGGTTGATGACCTCATCCATGATCTGAATGGAGCTGTGGTGTTCCCCAAGCTAGATCTTAATGCTGGATACCACCAGCTTGAGTTACATCCAGACTTCACTACACATACTGGCCTCTGGAGATACACCAGACTGAACTTTGGCATAAATTCAGCTGCCGAGGTGTTTCAAAATGTAATGCAGCAAGTGCTGCAAGGCATTCCCAACGTGAGAAATATGAGCGATGACATCCTAGTCAGTCTACGGTAGATCCCAAGATGAACGCAACACAAGTCTCAAAGCTGTGTTTCAGAGATTGAGAGGGAAAAATCTTGACAAATGCGAATACAGCAAAACAACACTTGAGTTTTACGGCTATGTTTTCTCAGAGAAAGGCATTTCGGTAGATCCAAAGAAAATCAAAGCCATACAGAATCTGCCAGCACCTCAAAATGTCTCTGTAGTTCACAGTCTACTTGGTATGATACAATACTACTTGGTATACAATACAATACGGTTCATACCAGACTTCGCAACAACCGCACAGCCTCTTCGTGAGCTCACAAGAAAAGATCACACCTGGTCAAGGGGACAACAGCACCAGTCTGCGATTAAAAATGTAAGAACTAACAGTGTCTGATGCAGCACACGCCGCTGGTTGCACATTTAACATGCTGGTAAAAATTAGGTAGAACAAATGTAAGTTTCCCTGCATTAAAGTCCCCTGCCACTAGGAACGTTGCCTCTGGATGAGCATTTTTCTGTTCACTTATGACCTTATACAGCTCATTCAGTGCAATCTTAATGCCAGCATTGGTTTGTGGTGGTAAATAGACAGCTATGAAAAATATAGAAACAGGTGCCATACTAAGTCAGCACAACCCTACAAGTGACAAAGACACCAATATAATTGCATATGCCAGCCGAGCGCTTTCAGAGGTTGGACAGCGACACTCATAAACTGAGAGAGAAGCTCTGGCAATCATCTGGGCATGTGAACACTTTCACTTGTATCTCTACGGAGCTCACTTCACGGTCATCACAGACCATTTACCACTAGAGCTTTTCTTCAACAACCCAAAAGCCACACCCCCAGCACGACTTGAGCGGTGGAGACTGAGACTACAACCCTACAGCTACACTGTGAAGTACAAAGCCGGTAAAGACAACTCTGCCGACTACATGTCAAGACAACCCATCGCAGGGGAAACACCACAAAGAACCTCTCGCATGGCAGAGGAATATGTGAACTGTATCATTGACAACACAGTTCCCAAAGCGATGACTCTAGAAGAGGTGCAAGAAGAAACAAAGAAAGACTCAGCTCTACAGAAGGTGATGTGCCTATTGTCCACAGGAACCTGGCTAGATTCACCACGTGACACACAATATGCTGATTTCCAAACATCAAAAGCACTCTTTCGCATGAGACATGAACTAACAATCAATGCTCAAGCAAACATCATTCTGAGAGGAACACGGCTCGTTCTTCCAGCCTCTCTCCATAAAAAAGCAATCAACCTATAGTAGCTCACACAGGACATCTAGGTATTGTGAAAACAAAACAGCTACTGAGAGAGAAGGTTTGGTTTCCAGGCATAGATGACATGGTGGAAAAAGCAATTCAGCAATGCATTCCATGTCAAGCTGCCACTGCAGAAAATCCTAAGGAACCACTGTTTATGTCGAAACTTCCCAAAGGTCCATGGCTAGAAGTATCAGTCGATTTCTGTGGTCCTTTCCCATCGGGTGATTACCTACTTGTAGTTGTCGACAAATACTCAAGGTATCAAGAGCTGATGTTTGGAAGAACTCTGCAGTACACTTCCCACAATGCCTCACTTCACACCAAACACCAAGCTATGTGACACTGACCAACGTGCAAAGCAACGCATGAAAGAGACTACAAGAACTGAGCACGACCCTCCACACTCAAACCAGAAGACATGGTACTCTGCCGTCAGCAAGTCAAAGGAAAACTCATGACTCCATACGATCCTAAACCTTGCAAAGTCATGAGAATCAAAGGATCGATGATAACGGTAACACGCTCTGGACGTCTGCTAACCAGAAACTCATCCTTCTTCAAAAAACTCCCAACGTCAATACCTGTTGACTTTGACCCCGAGCTGTCGGAAGAAGAGGACGACTTGAAAACTTGTCCACATGCTGCTGAACAACCAGAATCGATACTCTATGAGAACCAATAAATGACCTCCAAGATAACTAATTGAAGTAAACATTTTAATGACCAGTAGTGATAACCTTTATTATGAAATAAGGGAGGGATGTAATGTAGATAACATTATGCCATAATCCAGTCCGTGTATTGGTACTGTGGGATTCCAGTTCCTTGTTTTACAGTAGCCAGACAGTGGGAGGGATATGTCATGTGAGCCATGTTACAACAAACAAAATTACAAACATGTTACCATGTTTAATGTTGGCCTCACTAGTCCATTTCCTCACTGTTTGCTTAACAGGCTTGGCAGTTTTCAGTCTTTGTCTGTATGTGGGGATGAGTTGGAGCATCACATGGTCAGAGTTCCCCAGTAGCATGCGGGGGGTAGCATTGTATGCTCCTTTGATGGTGCTGTATACATGATCCAAGGTATTCTGCTCTCTAATATGGCATTTCACCAGTTGTTTGTGTCTGGGCAGCTCGTCGCTCAGAATGTTGTGAATAAAATCACACCGCCTCATTTTGATTTGTTAAAGAGTTCAGGGACGGGATCAGCTCTGTACAGTTGAAATCCAGGCATTTTTACTGCTTCGTTTGGTGTAGAGTTATTCAACCAGGTTTTCGTAAAGCAGAAAGCACAGGTGAGAGTGAAGTTATCTTTTGTAGTTATCAAAACTTCAACAGTTTTGTTGGCAAGTAAACACACGTTGGAGAGGAACATGCCGGGAAGCAGAGCCCGGAGCCCCCGTCTCCTAAAGCGCACGATAGCCCTGGCACATCTCCCCCCTCCTCCTCCCGTGTACAGTCCCATTGTCTCGGATAGTATTCTGACTCGTAGTCAGGGTGGAATTTTGGTTTAGATTATGGCCACTAGATGGAAGCAGTGTGTGTACAAAGTTTCAGATTGATCCAGTGAAGCATTGCAATACTGGACTATTTTGTATCAAGTCTGCCCAAATGTGCCGAATTGGTCAATTGATACATTTTCAAGTACATAACTATAGAGAACATACAAAAATGATATGGTAATAAAAAATGTAAGTTTACACACTCCCATGATGGTTCATTAGCTTATGCACTGACTTTCACACATCTAGATGGCCGGCGGGGTGGGTGTGGAGCCAGAGACAGCAGGGGTTCAAACTGTAGAACCCAGTTCCTACATTTGAATATAAACATGGATTTTATCAAACAAAACTATGCTACATTTTATCTCTGGGACCCTTAGGATGACAAATCAGAGCAAGATTACTGAATGTAAGTACATTATTTACCTTCAGAGGTGAATGTATCAAACCAGTTGCACTCTCCTCAAACAATAGCATGGTATTTGTTCACCGTAATAGCTACTGTAAATTGGACAGTGCAGTTAGATTAACAAGAATTTAAGATGTCTGCCCATATAAGACATGTCTATGTCCTGGAAAGTTTGCTATTACTTACAACAGTCATGCTAATCACATTATTGCACGTTAGGTCAACCGTCCCGTATACGGGACACCGATCCCGTAGAGTTTAAAGACAGAGAGTGTTTGGCTGTCATGCTCCATTAGGCCTTGGTTCAGCCAGGTTTCAGCCTGCCTCCTTCTCAACCAGGATGAAGGTGGTCTATGAATGATACAAAAAAAGTCCTTCAGGATTTGGACAGACTGCTTATTGTTTTTCATTTATTATTTTGTCAAAAAATGCATCTTCCACTTTCCTCTGTTGGACCTAACTGTCAAATCACGGGAATTCCGCTATAGTGTTGAATCTGCTTGTAGGCTATATAGTCCTTGGGATCTGGAATCCTTGGTACGTCCAACTTTGACGTTACCCCATTCAAATGGTTGAGAGTTAAGGTTAGAGTTTCCAGATAGCACTAACCTAGGCTATATTTTTGCCTGTTTGTTTGTTTACCTCTTATGTGGCAAAGTCACTATTGGCCATATCAACGGCGATGGTAGGCTATGGCTACACTGTACATTTCCCCCTGTAAATGTACAGCATTATCCTTACTGTAAAACATTACATTATGCTGTAATATGTTTTACAGTAAGAAAAATAGTACTGTCAAACAGCAAAATTACAGTATTAAGCTGGCAACTCTGGTGCCAGTATAATGCTGTATACTGTATTTACAGTGAAATTCTCCCTGAAATCTAAATGTAAGAAAAACAATACATTTGTACATAAAATACATTTATTCAAATGTGTAACAACATTAACAAATATACTAAATTATTGACAATAGAAGTAACAGCAGTTAACACATACGTAACCAAATAACATACACTAATTTAAAAACTACATTGTGTGCCTGTGTGTGGGGAGTGTGGGGGGAGAGAGAGGCAAAGAGAGAGGGAGATGGAGTTAAAATTGGGATTGGGTGCAATCCTAAATCTACGATCAGGAGCTCTATTCAGGGTAAGGGGGTTCAGAGGCGGTGAAACACACAACGGGACTGTCACAAACGTTGAGTGAAGGATCGGACCATGGTGCAGCATGGTATGCGTACATATTAATTTATTCAAGAAACACCGACAACAGAATGTGAAGTTCTACAGGCTACACAGCAACAAGCCAAACCAGAAACAAGATCCCACAAACAAAGGTAGGAACATGGCTGCCTAAGTATGATCCCCAATCAGAGACAACGATCGACAGCTGCCTCTGATTTGGAACCACACCCGGCCAACATAGAAATAGACAACCTATACAGTACACCCCAAATCACACCCTGACCTAACCAACTAGAGAATAAACGAATCTCCAAGGTCAGGGCGTGACAGGGACAGTTTGGGTCAGGAGAGCATCCAGGAGAGAGAAGTCAGCACAGCATCAAGTATTTGTATTTGTATTTATTACGGACCCCCATTAGCGGCTGCCAAGGCAGCAGCTACTCTTCCTGGGGTCCAATCACAATTTACATACAATAAAACAATACATAACACAACACATTATTACACACTGCTCTACCATAACATATTTACAATACAAAATCAATAATACAGCAAAATAACAATATTAAAATGTGTGTGTGTTGAGTGCGTGTGTTAGCATGTGTTTGCGAATGCTGTGTGTATGCCTGTGTGTGTGTGTGTTTGTGTCTCTTCACAGTCCGCGCTGTTCCATAAAGTGTAGTTTTATATGTTTTTTAAATCTGATTTTACTGCTTGACTGAGTTATTGTACATGATGTGGAATAGAGTTCCATGTAGTCATGGCTCTATGTAGTACTGTGTGTTTCCCGTAGTCTTTTCTGGACTTGGGGACTGTGAAGAGACCTCTGGTGGCATGTCTCGTGGGGTATGCATTGGTGTCCGAGCTGTGTGCCAGCATTCCAAACAGACAGCTCGGTACATTCAGCTTGTCTACACCTCTTAAAAAAACAAGCAGTGATGAAGTCAATCTCTCTTCCACTCTAAGCCAGGAGAGACTAACATGCATGTAATTAATGTTAGCTCTCCGTGTACTTTTAAGGGCCAGACGTGCTGCCCTGTTCTGAGCCAACTGCAATTTTCCCATGTCCCTCCTTGTGGCACCTGACCACACTATTGAAAAGTAGTCTACGTGCGACAAAACTAGGGCCTGTAGGACCTGCCTTGTTGATAGTGTTGTTAAGAAGGCCTAAACAGCTGCCCTGGGGAATTCCTGATTCTACCTGGATTAAGTTTGAGAGGCTTCCATTAAAGAACACCCTCTGTGTTCTGTTAGAGAAGTAACTCTTTATCCACATTATAGCAGGGGGTGTCAAGCCATAACACATATGTTCTTACAGCAGCAGACTATGATCGATAATGTCAAAAGCAGCACTGAAGTCTAACAAAACAGCCCCCACAATTATTTAATCATCAATGTCTCTCAGCCAATCATCAGTCATTTGTGTAAGTGATATGCTTGTTCAATATCCTTCTCTATAAGCATGCTGAAAGTTTGTTGTCAATTTGTTTACTGTAAAATAGCATTGTATCTGATCAAACACCATTTTTTCCAATAGTTTACTAAGGGTTGGTAACAGGCTAATTGGTCGGCTATTTGAGCATTAAAGGGGGCTCAGGTAGCGGAATGACTTTTGCTTCCAAGCCTTGGGGCACACACATTCTTGTAGGCTTAAATTGAAAATATGGCAAATAGGAGTGGCAATATCGTCCGCTATTATCCTCAGTAATTTTCCATCCAAGTTGTCAGACCCCGGTGGCTTGTCATTGTTAATAGACAACAATAATTTGTTCACCTCTTCCACACTTTCTTTACGGAATTCAAAATTACAATGCTTGTCTTTCATAATTTGGTCAGATATACTTGGATGTGTAGTGTCAGCAATTGTTGCTGGCATGTCATGCCTAAGTTTGCTAATCATGCCAATGAAAAAACGATTAAAGTAGTTAGCAATATCAGTTGGTTTTGTGATGAATGAGCCATCTGATTCAATGAATGATGGAGCTGAGTTTGTCTTTTTTCCCAAAATTTCATTTAAGGTGCTCCCAAAAAAAATTCTATCATTTTTTATGTAATTTATCCTTGTTTCATAGTGTTGTTTCTTCTTCTTTTTATTCAGTTTAGTCACATGATTTCTCAATTTGCAATACGTTTGCCAATCGGTTGTGCAGCCAGACTTATTTGCCTTTCCTTTTGCCTCATCCCTCTCAACCATACCATTTTTTAATTCCTCATCAATCCACGGGGATTTAACAGTTCTTACAGTCATTTTCTTAATGGGTGCATGCTTATTAGTAACTGGAATAAGCAATTTCATAAATGCGTAAAGTGCAGTGTCTGTTTGCTCCTCATTACACACCACGGACCAACATATATTCTTCACATCAACATAGGAATCACTTCTTGTATAACCTCTTATACACAATATTAGGCCCAGCCTTTGGAACTTTGGTTTTCCTAGATATGGCTACTATATTGTGATCGCTACATTCAATGGATTTGGATACTGCTTTCAAACAAATCTCTGCAGCATTGGTAAAGATATGACCAATACATGTTAATGATT